CAGCCACAAGCTCCACTGCTCCCTGATGTCTCACACCCAGCCCACTTCATGTTCCCTGGAAGTATGTACCTTCGCAATCACTGGCCTCTCCCTTACAGTGATTTCAAAATGTAAATACTTTGACCAGCCCTTGATACCCCAGTGCCGTTTAGACCATCAGAACTCCAGGCTTAGAGAATTTTCGCAATATGTTGTCTTGAATTGGGTCGAGATGGGCAGGGAATTCTGTAATGAGGGTGAAGGGAAGATCCGAAGGACTGAATTGAGGGTACAAAGAGCAAACCTAGGACTCCTCTCAATGTTCTACTTGGTCCTCTGGTGTGCTTACAACCCCCATTCCATTTCCTGCCTATGCCCTCACATTGTTTTTAATGCCTTCTCTGTGGACAGATGCTGGGAACCAGGAAATGCAGACAGTCTCTGGGCCGATTCTGGATTCTCAACCCACCCAGGTCAGCGCAGCTTAGCAGGGACCTTGGCTCTGGTCCTGAAACCTGAGTATAGGAAGCGATGGACCTAGCTGGCTGGTCTCCGGGCAAACTGGAAGGCTACAGCGAAGATTTAGCGCGCCATCTGTTGGTTATTTGGGAAACTGCATCTCTGCAAAACGGGTTGCCTAGAGCTACAGGCATCTCCAAATTTGCCAGCGGGTTCTTAGGCAAGAAATTTCTTTTCACCTTTCCAAGATTTCACACTCTTTAAAAAGCCACTGCGCACTTACGAGCCTTCTATCCCAGCAAAATGCACTTGCAGTTGATTTGTATATACTTCCAGGGATTTGGCCAACTTCAGGTTAAGATCTTCTGAGACCCAGAGAGGCCAAGGAGTTTGCTTGAGCTCACACAGCACAGTAGTGCAAGTGCGAAGTCTGAAAGCAGGTGTTCCAGTCACCTATCTAGTGTTTTTAATTCTCAGGCTGCCTCTTCAAGCCTTAAGGGCTCTTCCCTCTTTCTTCTCTGCCAGAGTGCTGTAAATATCTGTGGGAGTCTTTGACATGCCCAGAAACTGTAAGGCTCCTACCTCTCCTGGGGGTTCTGGGCTCTCCAACAACCCTATTCTCCATTCGTTGTTCCTGGGTCCTACAGAAGCATGACCCCGGGCCACTTTAGTGACACCCACTCTGCTCTTAAGAAGCTCAGACCCTGTGTCTTGAACTGGGAGTTAGGACAAGAAACTGATCTGTCACTGATAGGCTGCTGTCCTTGGAGGCTGCTGCTCTTGGATGATTGTCAGACCTTCCAGGATCTTGGCCTCCTCAGTGTAAAATGCTACATTGGAGGCAGCCATCTCCAAGGGCCCTTCCTTACTCTAACTACAAAACTGGTCAATGGGTGCTGTCCTTCACAGCAAGCCGGTCCAAGTGACTTTCCCCAGCCAAACACCCAGACAGGATCAAAAGCTAAATTCCTTTTCAAAATCAGAAGCCCTGGGTAGGTGGGGCTGCTTAAGGGAGGGAGGGGACCTGCATGCCATAGGAACAGAAGGAACACAGAGGAAGCACCCCGTGACTCTTCCAACACCTCCCATGGGCCAGGAAGGCAGGACAAGGAGGCAGACCAAGGGGCATTTCTTGGGGATAAAGTAGTACAGGAAATGCTGAGTGATGGATAAAAGGGTGGCTTTGTGGGTTCAAGGGCATAATGCACAGGGCTGGGTATACAGTTGGCATCTAATAAGGGAGACTTACTGTCATCACATAGCTTAACACTAAACTCTTCTTTCACTTATTTAAACAAACATTTGCTCATGTTTTGGTGGGAACAGAGGTTCTCAAACCTGAGCATGCATCAGAATTGCCTGGCTGGCCTCTTTAAGATGCAGATTGCAGAGTCCCACTCTGAGTGTCTGATTCAGATGATCTGAGGTGGGGCTCTGGAATCGGCATCACTAGCAAGTTCTCAGGTGATGCTGACTTTCTCATTCAGGGAACACGCTTTGAGAACCACTGGCTTGGAGTGACAGAGGAAACAGACCACCCTGCCCTCGTGAGGGCATTGAGCAAGTAAATATCACAGAATCTGTATGTTCTGAAGAGGGACGTGCAGAGTGCTTGGGGCTGTTCCCAGTCTGGGGAGTTCATGCTAAGACCTGAGGGCCTAGTAGAGCCAGCCCAGTAAGCGGAAGAGGGGTGAAAATGTTGTGAAACACTCACTTAGAATAGGCAGGCTCTCTCTCACATCATTCATCCACTCCTCCCAGCCAATGTCAGGAAGGCAGGATTAACCCCCATTTTACAGATGAGAAAGGTAAGGCTGAGAGAGAGAAATAACTAACCTGAGAACTCATGGCAAGAAAGAAGTCCAGGTCTGTTTGTGCACTGGACACCCACGAGCAGCCACACCCCCTCTGCTGCAACCCCAGGAACCCCCGTCTTTCCAGGGGAGCTGCCACCTGGACACAGCTGCAGGGCCCGGCCAGCCGCACTCTGTCCATTTCCCCCACTGGAGCGCTTCAAGTGTTTTCACTGCTGGGTGAATTCAGCAGATGCCTTTCGATCACAGCCTATTAAATTAGCCCCTCTCTGCAGCCAAAAGAAGGTAATTATGTTTTCATTAGCCCTGGATAATGTATTGCCCCCTCGGTGACAGCCACATCGGGGAGGCCAACCTCCTCCTTTCCTCCTTCTGCCCGGGGCTCTGCTAGAGCACTCCACTCCCCTGGGGTCCACCTCTGCACTGAGGGGCGGGCACCAGTGAGGGTCAGAGAGGCTGGGAGGGGGAAAGGGCACCCTTTACACCCGTCCACCATCCATGCAGGGGTTGAGGGGTGTGGTCCTGAGAGAAAGGCCAAGAATAATTGTTATCATGGTGACCATTTACAAAGCACCTGCTGTATGCTGATGCCTGGATGCGTCTCAGCTGGTTCAATCCTCCAATAGCTCGGGAGAAGGGTGGCACCCCAAAGGGGTCCTGGTGGAATCAGGTTATTGTGACAGACCAGAGCAACTTCCAAGGAACTATAGCCTAGGGCACTTTGGGGACTGTCACTGTGCATCATTCCAAGGCCACCTGGTTATTAATAAAACTCTCTTGTCTCCACTGGCTCAGGATCTCTGGAGACCCTGCCCCGTACTCGTGTGGTCCAGGCCCCCAAACACCAGGAACCACTCTCCCCCAACCCTGGACACTCCCCGTATGGCTCTGACAGCCTCACTCTCCCTCTTTCTCCACAAGACATCGGCAAGGAGGCAGGAAGAGCCCCCCTTCGGGGTCCTCAGTTCTAATATCTGCTTTACCACCGATTTCCTGGGTGACCTGGAGCGAGTCACTTTGCCTCCAGAGCCTCTATTTTCTCCCTCTGTAAAATGGGAATAAGGAAGGGAGCCACCTCTTACCATGTTTATGATGGTTCAGTGAGATATAACTATTAAATGCTTGGCTCAAAACCAGCAAAATGAGAAGTTCTCAATAGAAGATGGCCATTGTCCCTCACTCCCCTTAATCCGAGGGAAACCACCAGAGGGAGGGAAGGGAAAAAGTCTCTGGCTCTGTCTGTCACTGTCCATCTTTCTCTGTATCTCCATCTTTCTTCCCTGTCTCTGCCAGTTTCTCTCTCTGCCAAACTCTTTCCATCAATCTGCCAATCTCTCTCTGCCTCTCTCTCTTCTCTTACTTTCTCTGTCTCTCTCTTTCTCTCTGCCAATCTATGTCTCTATGTGTTTTTTTCTATCTTTCTGTCTCTGCCAATCTGTCTCTGTCTCTCTCTGCAAACCTCTCTGCCTCTCTTCTTTTCCTCTCTTTCTCTCTGCCAGTCTCACTCTCTGTTTTTTCTGTCTTTCTCTCTGTCTCTGCCAATATGTCTCTGTCTTCCTGCCAACCTCTGTCTCTCTCTTTTTCTGTGTTTTTTCTATCTCTGTCTCTGCCACTCTCTCTCTCTGCATCAGTCTTTCTGCGTTTTTCTCTCTGTCTTTCACTGTCTCTGCCAGTCTCCATCTGTCTCTGTCTCTCTTTATCTCTCTCTGCCCCCCTCTTCTCTGACTCTCTTTCTCTCTCTCTCTCTCTCTCTCTGTGTGTGTGTGTGTGTGTGTGTGTGTGTGTGTCTGTCTGTCTGTCTTCCTCTCTCATCTGCACATACACAGAGGGCTGCTCCCAGTGCCTGGCTCCACCCTGGGCTCTGAGGCTCCGTCTTCCCGGAGCTACATTCTAAAGCATTTGCTTTTCATTGCACCAGGTCACCTGGAAGTGAGGAGAGAACTGAGGGGAGCGGGGTTTCTGTGCCTCCTCCCCAAACCCAAGCCAACTCTGCCTTCTGCAGGCACAGCCCAGCTTTGGCCCTGACCCCAGCATCTCGTGGCCATGCATCCCCTCCCAACCACCCTTCTCCCCAATTTCAAAGTAGTTTGTGCTCCCAGAGAGGAAGTGCCCCTACTTGGAGCTTCTTTTGGCCCCGACCCACACAGAGGCAGCCGTGGACTCTGTTTTGAGCAGGTAAACTGCCAGCCCAGTGGAAGAACAGCTTCCCTTCCCCTGGTTTCCTGATTTTCCCCAGTTGCCATGGTAATTGAGGGAGCAGCGTTCTGAGACTGACACCACTGAAACCCAGCGCCCAACTTTGAAACGGTTCAGGTGAGGGACGCTGGACCCAAGACAGGAGGGGACCAGACTGCAAGGACTCAGCTTCAGCCTCGATTTTCTGAGACTGCCCCCCATCCAGCCTTTACACCACTGTTCTTAGCATCATCAAACTCATCATTACTGTTGGTAACTGTTTCCTGGGCGTTTACTATATGGCCAGCTCTATGTCAAGGGCTTCACCAGCATCATCTCATTGTGTATAACCTCACAGTGTCCCAGACCCATCTACTAGCTCAGGAAACAGGCTCTGAAACTTGCCCTTGTGACAGTCAGGAAGTGGCAGAGCCCTGGGCCTGGTGGCATTTCTCCAGTCCTCCTTCCTGAGTGTGTAAGACAACAGAGACCTCCATGCACCCTCGTCAGCTTATTCATTCTTTATTCCTTCCTCCCCTCCTCATCCCCCACACCCCTCCTCCTGCCCCCAAAGTCACACCCCCCCCTTCCCCTGCTGGATGTGCAAGACGATCTGAAAAGCATTTATTAGTGACAAAGGGGGGAGGTTTTCCTCTTTGCCTCTTCTCTGCACAACTCGAAGCCTGAGTGGGTTTGCTCTTCTTGGCAAGGCTGGGGAGGAGGAAAAGATCAAATCAACCAGAGCCAGGTGCCAAGTGTGTGTGTGTGCATGCGTGCGTGTGTGCGTGTGTGTGTCGTGCGTGTGTGTGTGTGCGTGTGCATGTGCGTGTGTGTGTATCCTCTCTTTCCTTGATTTCCCCCCCGTTTTCCCAAGACTGTGTGAGCAGCAGCAACAGCAACAGGAAGATGCAAAATCCTTTGCAATCTGCCCAGGAAAAGACAGCTTTTGAGTCGGGTTTATATGGTTACCCATATGTTAGGGCCCCTAAGAAAGGAAGGGAGGCTGCCTTCTCTGTGTCTTCCCCTCCTCCAGCCCAGACCTTGGCCTCTCCACACCTGTGGGGCTCCCAGGCCAGATAAACACATCCCCTCCATTCTGCCCTCTCTCCAGATGCCAGGCCTGAGTGTGGCTCCAGAAAAGACCAGAATCAGGCAACATTTCCTGAACAGTCTGCCTTTCTCCGTCTGTCCACCCGAGAGCCAAGGCCAGAACCCAGGCTGCAAACTCTGCGGGTGCCCCGGAGGGGCTCGCAGCACTGCCCAGCCTGGGGGCTGTGTGTTCCACTGTCCCACTAAGGAATGCTCTCCCAGCACTGACGCAGAGGCACAAATAACCATCCCTGCTTCCCATGGGGCCTTCTCTGCCCAAACAGAGATGCCCTCCCCTGCGTGGCTACCACATTCAGCCCTCTCCAGGCTCCCAGAAATTGTCATTGTGTGTGTGTGTGTGTGTGTGTGTGTGTGTGTGTGTGTGTTTCCTGATAGAAAAAAAAATGGAAATTAGGTTATATAAAAGATGTATGCTTTGGAGCCCAGAGCGGCTCTTTTAATGAGGGTTGCGACGTCTCCCTCCCCACACCCATAAACCAGTCGGGTTGGACGTCACCACTAATTCGTTTCAGTGATGATAGGATAAAGGAGGGACATTAAGAAATAAATTCCCCCTCACGACCCTCGCTGAGCTCACGGCTCAGTCCCTACATATTTATGCCGCGTTTCCAGCCGCTGGGTGAGGAGCTACTTAGCGCCGCGCCTTCTCCGAGGGGCGGCCGGGCAGCGAACAGCGGCCGAGCGGACGGGGTGAGCCAGGGGCGCGCGCGGGGCGCCCAGCACTGCGCTGGGGAAGCCCGCAGCCTCTGTCCCGAACTTGGGTTCCCTGGGGCTGAGGGAGGGACGCGAGGGGAGGAGAGAAGAGAAGGGAGGAGTGGGGGATAGGGGAGAGGGGGTGGGGAGGGATCTCAGAGGCACAAAGCCGAGGGGAAGGGGAGCGACACGCGCGGCTCCTACCCGGAGGCCAGTGGGTGCAACCGGCCCCTTCCAGCCGCGCGGGGCGGCGGACTCCGAGGATTCAGAACCCGGAGCGTGGCAGCCGCGGGCGCCCGGGAGGAGGAGGAGGAAGAGTAGGAGGCGGGCGGGCGGGTGCGCAGCGTGAAGAGGCAGCCTCGGCGCTGCCCGGCTCGGCGGCAGGTGAGTTCCTGATTTAGGCGTCCCGCGCCCCGTCTCCGTCCCCAGGGCTCCCCGCTCCCGCCGGAGACCTTGGTGTTCGCGGAAGGCTCGGGCTTTGCTGCGCGTCCCAACTTGGTTCGAGCGGCCTCGTTTTCCACCTAGCGGGCGGCCCCAGGGCCGGGGCTCAGGTCCTGAGGGTCTGCGCACCCGCCCCGCTCCAACTTTGCAGGGACCCCAGACCCTTCCCAGCCACGCTAGGCTCCGAGCTGCGCGCCGGCGGTAATGGCGGAGCCCTTGGCACCGCTCGCTACCCTCCCGCGGGCAGCCCGGGCCGGGGCATGCCAGTCCCTGGGGATCATTGCACCTGCCCAAGCTCAACTTTACGCCTTCCTCGGTGCCCGACTCTGCGGCCAAATCGCAGCTGCGAGCCGCGGATAATGGCGGAGTCTTTGGCACCGGCAGCCGTCCGCGACTGGGGGCCCGAGGCTGGGAGGGCTCCGCTCCCCGGAACCTCGCTCCGGCCTGGCCTCCAACTTTGCGAGGAGCCTCGTCGCGTTCTCCTCCCGCGATCACGGTGGGCCGCCCGTACCTCTCACTTTTCCATCTGGGCGGGATTGGGGTGTAGGAGCGCCGTCTCCAGAACCTGGGAAAGTTGTGCCTCTCCTGCGAAGGAGGCTCTAGGGCTCACCGTGTGTCCGCCAGGAGGCCGAGGGGCGCGCTCCACCGCGGTTCGGGGCTGGGCAGTGGAACGAGCGGGCGATGAGGTTGCTTCCAGGTGGCCAAGGGTCAGAGCAGGGTCCCCGGGGCATCCAAATTCCAGGGCCACTCAGGGGCGCTTGAGTCCGAGATCCCGGAAGGGGCTCTCTCAGGACTGCGCCCCAGAGGACGCCAGATGCTCGCCTCCACCCCTAGGTCACTGTGACCAGAGAGAGCTCGTGGCTTTCCAAGCTCTGCATCAGGCTGTCTGGGGTAGACATCCGGAGAGGAGAGGCTTTCACCGAGAAGGCAGCCGACGAGGGCAGGAACCTTTTCAGTGACTCCCCGGGTTTGTGGTCCTAGATCTACCCATTACTTGTTGCGTGACCTTTGGTAAGTCTCTTCATCTTTCCCCGCCTCAGTTTCTCATCTGTGAAATGGAGAAACAGTACCTTTTTAATGGGGCTGTCGCGAGGACGTTAAAAAACCATAAATATGAATATGAAGTCAGGGTAAGTGTTCATAACGCAGAAAGTGTTGCTGATACTTGATTATTGTAATGCTCTGGGACCGGATCTGGGAGACTCGCACACAGGTCTAGGGTTTCCCGCCAGTAGGAACTGGAGGGTCCACCCCGCAGGGTACTCCCGGGCTGCAGAAGGTTGCGCTCGCCTCCATCTCTACCCCGGTAATCCTGGGGAACACGCATGGGGTTCTTCCCATAGCCTAGCTCAAACCCTGTGTTCAGGCCTAAGAAAAGCGCGCACGCAGCCACCACAGAGCGGGGGTCCCCATGGACGCTGCTAGGCTAGGGTGCACTGCGGGCGAGCGCGCACCTAGGTGCTTAATCTGACCTCTGGCGGCCCAGGACCGTGAGAGACAGGAGAAAGGACCCCCCCAGACCGCTCCTCCCGAGAGGAATGAGGGAAAACGATTCCCTTTCTTCAGTGCTTCTCTAACTCGGGTCGGGGCAAACGCAAGAAATTCGCAAACACACCAGGGAACATTGACGCAGCTCTCTGGAGCGTGGATTTTCCCCCGTTATTTTTTAGGAACTGAAGATAAAATAGGAAAGGGGCTCTAGTCTAGGCAGCTCCCCAGGCGCTCAGGGGTCGCCTCCGTTCTCCGCCCTGAAGGCATCTCAGCGGATGGTTTGAGATGCCTCCGCAGGTCTCAGAAGGAGGGGTCTCTGCCTCACCAACAACGCTCCAGCTGCCCAGGCCCCTTTCCACTAGCCTGGGTTTCAGAAGCGCCCTGAGGGGCGCACAGCTCTGTCACTGACACTGACAGCTTCAAGGCACTGTCAATATTATTCACCTGGAGCCTCCTAACAACTCCCAGCTTGCCAGTGCAGCCATCTGAATCCCATTTGGCAGGTGCAGAAACTGAGGTGGGGCAAACCAAGCTACCTGCTCATAGTCACCTAGCTGGTAAGTGGCGCTAAGCAAGACCTCAACCCCAATTTTTGGCTTCTTAATTAGGGGCTCTTTGCATGCATCTGGGCACCTGCGCAGTCTGACATGTACCCGAGCCTTAGCACACACAGCTGCATTTCCCGATATATCTGTTCAGCCAGAGGCCACCCCTATGGTCAGGGGCACGGCTGTGTCTCCACAAATTGTGTGTGTGTGTGTGTGTGTGTGTGTGTGTGTGTGTGTTTTCCCAACGTTCCAGATCCTATAGAGAAAGAGTGTGGTAGAGAGACCTGGTGAAGACCTTGGCTTGAGGCCAAGCTTAGCTCACTCCATGGCTGTGTGACCTCATGTCCATCACTTAACTTTCCTGAGCTTCAGTTCTGTTATTTGTAAAATGAGAACAGTTAACTCCCATACGGGGAAGTTTGTGATTATGTATGTGAAAGGTGTTCTGAAAACAACGATGTTATGCCAAGATTTGTGATTTGAAGGAAGGAAGGGAACCCTAAACAGAGGGCAGAATATTCCATGGAGCCATTTGGGGCTAATAATGTCATTGTGGTTTTCAGACCAGCCTGCTTTTTTTGCGCTTTCTTTCTCCTGTTTATTTTTGCCAAATGGCCAAAGCCAGCCTCCAGGAGCCTCTGTGTTCCATGGGGAAGGACCACAAGGAGAAGAATGAGAAGCTGGGGGTATTGTGATGGGTCAGGCTGCTCCCAAGGGGTCTCTGTGAGTGAGATGCAAAGAGCTGTCCGGAAACTTCCCCACTGGGAGGGGTGCTGATTTCCCAGGAGGCAGGAAGCTTTGGAGGTCAGTTTCCCCGCATATTTTGGGCACAGACAGGTTTGACTGTGCCTGTTGTGCTCACACTGCAGATGTTTTTTCCTGTGGTGCCTGTCACTCAGGTTCTGTGGGTCTCTGCAGGGCTTGGAATGTGGTGAAGAGCCACAGGCAACAGTCCGTGCTCATGAGAACTGAGGCGTTTTCTCATTAGAAACTGGAATTTGCAGAAGTTGCATCTGGCAGTTCAGGACCCATTTTCATCCAGATTGTTTGAACGAAGGGGCATGTTTCCTGCCATGAATCAGTGTGGATTTGTATGGTTAACACCATATAGGTTATAGACATGACCATTTTCCTTGTTCTAATATATGATAACATTTAAACATCATCTCATCCAGCGAATACCAAACATCAGCCCAGTGAACCATTAGTGTCAGAATACAAGTCCCTCTTTAAAAGCGAAGATGCCAGGTCACACCCTAAAGGTACCACATCAGCATCCCTGGGGGATCGCAGAAATATGTGTATTTTTTAACAAGGGTGCTCCAGGAGATTCTGATGCCCTCAGTTCTTGTCTGTCACCCTCATTGTACTGAGGAAACTGTACTGGGGAAACTGAGGCCCAGAAAAGGCCTGTGACTCAATGGAAGTCATACAGCACATTACTGCCAAAGCTGGGCTAGAACCTCAGTGTCTTGACTCTGTCCAATCCTCATTGATGATCATAACTCCGTGTTTCACCCTTCAATACAGAGAAGCCCCGTAAATGCCAAACTTTGAAGAAATTCAATTTCATCTCCTCTGATTGTCATTCTAATTCAGACCAACTGCTCAGAGGGGTCTGAAAATAATTCCTCCCACCTTGACCTTGCTGGGTGTCGGCCTGAGTTCCTGTCTAATCTTGACCTTTAGCCCTGTTATTTGATCTGTCCCTTTCAAAGGGGAAATTCCTTTTTTTTCTTTTCTTTCTTTTTTCTTTTTTTTTTGAGACAAAGTCCATATCTATTGCCCAGACTGGAGCGTGGTGGTGTGATCACAGCTCACTGCAGCTTCGACCTCCTGGGCTCAAATGATCATCTCTTCTCAGCCTCCCGAGCAGCTGGGACTACAGGCACGTGCCACTACACCTGGCCAAGTTTTGTATTTTTTGTAGAGATGGGGTTTTGTCATATTGCCCAGGCTAGTCTTGAACTCCTGGGCCCAAGCCATCTGCCTGCCTCGGCCTCCCTAAGTGCTGGAATTACAGGTACGAGCCACCGCACCAGGCCCAGAAAATTCCTTTTACAAGTGACCTATCAGATGTAACTTCTGGAAAGAAGTAATCGCAGAGCGAATAAACCCTGTCTAACTACCAAAAGCCATTGGTTTGAGCTCATTTCAACAGCCCATCGGCTTTCCACCCAAGCTTTGCGAGCATGTTTATTGCTTACACACTGGTTCTTAAGGTAGAAGAATTACGAGCAGCACCCGGCAATGCTGGAAAATTGAGCCCATTTGAATCTTGTCAATGAAAATGATGTATCAACAGAAAGTGCCTCTAAGTCCCTAATTCAAGTGTGGGAAGCAGGGCATAGCAGACATGGGTCTTGGCGCAGTCATACGATGCTAAGGATGAACAGCAGTGATTGTGAGCCGTTCAGCAGCAGATGTCAGTGCATTTGTCATATGTGTCATGATAGGTGTGAAATGGCAAGGCCAGTGCTGGACCCCAAGAGCAGGTACCCAGATAAAGGTGGTGTGAGCCCCGTTCTAATGAGGCCTGCAGTCTGGCTAAGCGGTGAGCACCAGACAAGCCCTGTACCTGGCATGATGTTTCTGCAAGAGAGGTGAAGGTGCAGTGCTGTGGCAGCACTCAGGGCAAGTGGTTGAGGGAATCAGGGAGGACTTCTCAGAGGAGGTGGCATCAAAGCCCATAGCCTGATTTGTGGCACCCTCTCAGGGATGGGGTCCCAGTGCCAAACTGGGCCAGCAGCAGCCAGGTTGAAAGGCAAGGCCTCACACTGAGAATCATCTTAGGAAACATCAGAGACCGGCTTGGGCACTTGTGGATTCTGTGACTCAGGGTGAGTTTAACAGCTCTGACCCTCCATGTCATTTGTACAGCAGAGATTATAAGTACTACATGGTGTTGCTCTGAGGATTTAATGGGATAGTGTGTGTGTGTAACTCTGGAAAGGAAAGAGTATCAGGCCCATCTCAGTGATCATAACAAAGAAAAGAAATTTTAAAAAGAGTTAGCCAGCCAGGTGCGGTGGCTCATGCCTGTAATCCCAGCACTTTGGGAGACCGAGGCAGGAGGATTGCTTGAGTTCAGCATTTGAGCCCAGGCTGGGAAACAGTGAGACTCCGTCTCTGCAAAAAAATACAAAAAAATTAGTCAGGTGTGGTCGTGTGCACCTGTGGTCCCAGCTACTTAGGAGGCTGAGATTGGAGGATAGTTTGAGGTAGGAGAATTGCATGAACCCGAGAGGCAGAGGTTGCAATGAGCTGAGACTGTGCCGCTGCACTCCAGCCTGGGTGACACGGCCAGAATCTGTCTTGAAAATAAATTAATTCATTCATTCATTAATTTTAAAAAGAAAGAGTTAGCCAGCTGGTATAGTCTGAGCCCCTTTCTCTTGCTCAGCCTCAGCTTTCTTATCTGTGAAATGGAGTTGGAACTTAAGGGAATCTCCCTTCAGGGACCTGCAGATATGTTCTGTCGGCTGGCAGAGGTTTTTTTGTTTTCTGTTTGTTTGGATTGAGGGGCATTGTTTTGTCAGGTTTTGTTTGAAGAGTATCTCTTTTTCCTTTAGGTCACCAGCCTCACCTTTACATATTGTTTGACTCACTTGTCTGGCCCTTCAAGGCGTTTGAGTCTACAACCCCAGAATTAACTTCCCTCAGAGACCTTTTCAGCTTTCACATCCTCTGCCTCACCCGAGAGCAACGTTGGCCCAATTGTCATCTACCAGTTGCATTTATGATTTCTGCTGACATTTCCTAAGAGAAAGGTGGCCCTATTCAGGTGGAAAATACAGAAGCCCTTTGCAAGGGGCAGAGTTTCCACTTCCAGCTGGGGCATTTCCCACCTCTGATTTGCATGTTCTGTTACCTACTAAGACTGGGATTTTCTGGGAATGACGAGCCTTCTCTTTTTGACCATCCATGATGCTTCAGGAGCCTACAGGTTTTCAGAGGTGCCCTGAAAAGCATCTCTGCTTCTACTGGGAACATTTGCCCACTGGCATTAAATAGTACTCGAGAATCTCTTCTTTATTCAAAACCTGACAGCTAAATTTTGCTACCCTGAGGATTAAAAAGGTGGGCCTTTCTGAAATTCATTTCCAGTTAGAAATGAAGAAGGAATCTTATGAATTCAAAAAGCTTATGCAACTTCAGATAGTATCTATGTTCAGCCAATGTTTCCCAGCTAAAGTATTTCTTGTCATAAACAAGAGTGAAGATATGCTCTATTGCCCAGGCATGGAGTGCAGTGGCGCAATCTCGGCTCACCGCAGGCTCCACCTCTCGGGTTCAAGCAATTCTCCTGCCTCAGCCTCCCGAGTAGCTGGGACATCCTATGCTTACCTGCCTGGCTAATTTTTGTATTTTTAGTAGAGATGGGGGTTCACCATGTTGGCCAGGCTGATCTTGAACTCCTGACCTCATGATCCACCCGCACTGGCCTCCCAAAGTGCTGGGATTACAGGTGTGAGCCATGGCACCCAGTCAAAGTCAGTCGCTTCTTCAACAAATACACCCTGAGCTCCCAGCTCTGTGACAGACCCCGTAAGAGAGGCTTCTGCATAAGGAAAGGGAAGACAGAGTCCCTATCCTCAAGTAGTTCATGGTGTCCAAAACAGGTATCCACTCACCAATAACTAGATGCAGTGGGGCAGATGATGTAGGCAGTCTGTCCTATTTAGGCATTAAAATAGCCACATGGATCACATTGGGCTGTATGCCATTCCAGGAATTTTCAGCATTAAAAAAACGTAACCTCCGGGGAGAAATCAGAATAGTACTCAATTGCAACTGACATATTTTGGGCATATTTTTCTCTTTAATTTTTTTGAAGCAGTATCTCAGCTCTGAAATATTCAGTAAGAAAAATGAAAGCCAGTTATGTTCATCTGCCAGAATTCAGGTAATGAACGCAGTCGATAGCATCTACGTGCTTGTTTATTATAAGTCTTAGCTGGCAATGCCTTCACTTATCATTTTGCCTCTAATGTCGTGGTAGTCACTGAAATGAAATCCCTTTCCTTCTCACAAAGCATGGTGTAAAATAATGGGACTGAATGGGTTTCTTGGCTTGATATTTTTATTGATTTTGATGATTTTTTAACAAACGTGCCACATTCCTATATGT